CTTTGAGCTTAATGTCTTTGTTCTAACGAACATCGCGCCGGCGGACAGAGCTAAAGGTCACAATTTTCTCAGTCAATACTGAGAATTAAATTAATTTATTAATAAATATATTGGACTAAGTGTCATTGAGCTTTAACGAGCATCGCGCCGGCGGACAGAGTAAAGGTTGTAACTAAATATTATTCAAGAATTAGGTGTATTAGATTAGAATATATTTGTAAGCCTATGTGTATTGGGTAGCTAGTCTTTGAGCTTAATGTCTTTGCTTTAACGAGCATTGCGCCGGCGGACAGCGCAAAGAAACTTACAAATATATTTTTAGTGTTTAATTTTTGTCTTGGTGATTATTGTGCCGCATCCTTTCAAGGCGCTTTCTAGTGCCAGGACACATTGGGCCACCACAATTCCGCCATGATAAATTTTTTTACACAGATATAAATATTTCTGAATTTTGTTTTGGCCATTTTTTTTTTCAAATTAAAATATATAACATTAGCTTTAATTTAAGGTATATATAAAAGTGTCAGTCTTCCGGAACTTTTTCAAAAGTTAAGTTGAAAAAGTTACCATTTTGAAACCCTTCATGTGGGCTTGTAAAGGGTCAAATGTTCACAAAAATATATAAAATAATAGATGAATACCGAAGGTATCTATAAAAAAAAAAAATTATATTGATTCGGTCATTTTTAAAAATATTATGGTAATTTTAAGTAAAAAAAAAATTGAAAAAATGTCGAAAATTAGCGATTTTTAAATTTGTAATTTATAGGCGGATTTCCACCGTTTCCGGGAAACGAGGGATTTTTTTTCAAATTTTGAGGGTAATGTTTTCGACAGGTACGATTTGTGATTTTTTGACATATTTTTAATAATAATTGGTCCAGCGAGAGCAGAGATTGAGCGTATACAGACACAAAAATGAAATTTTTCGACCTTTGCCAATAAATTTCCTGGAATCTGGTGACCAAGTACTTTCGTTAAAAAAAAAATCCAGCACAGGGGAATCGTGGCACAGTGGTGACGTGGCATAGTTCGATCAAGTATAATGATATCTGACAGTGATTAAAATCACTATAAAAAAAAACGCTTCGATGCAAATCTTTAGATAGTGTTTAATTTTAAGATATTGGTAGATTATTTCAAAAGCAACCATAAATCTTATTCCCTTAATTTTATCCTGATTTATAATTATAATATATGAGTACATAATAATTATGATAATTAAATTTAGTATTAAATTGATGTTTAATAATATTGTAATTTTTACGGAGATATTACAAAAATAAAAAGGAATTAATTCATACTTTTAACACGTATAAAAATTTAAAGGGATTGATGCAATACTTTTTAATAAAAAAATTATTTTATTTAAAAAAGTAATGTCGTTAGTCTGGTGCGATCATGTATAATGATATCTGACAGTGATTAAAATCATTATCATAAAAAACGATTCGAATCAAATCTTTAGATATTGTTTAATTTTAAAAAAATGTTGGATTATTCCAAAATCTACATGATCTGCTATTTTCTTATTAATATCCTGAATGAAATAGGGATTATTAAACAATATTATTTCTCATAAAAAAATTGTGTTAATCCATATACTTTTCAATTAGTTATAGCATTATAAAGTTAAAAATGTAAAAATAAAATCAAAAATTTTCACACAATAATAGCATTTGTTAGCCATTTTCACCGTTAAGACAAAATAAAGTTCGAAATTTTTTTTTTCATAACAAAGTATATTACATTATCTTTAATTTAAGATATATATAAAAGTGTCAGACTTTCCGGAACATTTTCAAATGTTAAGTAGAAAAAGTTATTTTTTCGTGAAAAAGTTGTCATTTTGAATCCCCCCTGTGGTTAATATACCAAATGATAAATAAAGATATCAAGCATCTATAAAAAAAAATTATATTGATATGTTCATTTTTGAAAAAGTTACGGCAGTTTTTAGTAAAAAAAATTGAAAAATTAGCGATTTTAGCTTCGATGCGAAGCTGAGATGGTTTTGGTTTTACTATGATGTGTTTTTTTTTTTTGTGTGTCTGTTACCACTTTTTCTCAGCTCTCACCGAACCGATTTCTTTCAATGATAAGTCAAAAGATCACAAATCGTATCTAGTCGAAGACATTACCCTTAAAAATTGAAAACATTTCCCTCATTTCCCGTATATGGGAGAAACCTCCAAAAAAATTACAAATTTAAAAACCCAGCACAGGGGGGTCATGGCACAGTGGTGACGTGGCATAGTTGGGTCAAGTCTGACAGTGATTAAAATCACTATCATAAAAAACGCTTCGATGCAAACTTAAGATAGTGTTTAGTTTTAAAAAATTGGTTGATTATTCCAAAAGCTACATGATCTGCTATTTCTTTATTTATATCCTGATTAAGATAAAGTATGTCCAATAAAAGAGGGATATAAATATTATTTCTCATAAAAATTGTATTGATGTAAAATGTAAAAAATAAAATCAATTATTTAACACAAAGTTAGCATTCGGTAGTCATTTTCACCATGTAGACAAAATAAAGTCCGAAATTTTTTTTTCCCATTATAAAGTATATTACATTAGCTTTAATTTAAGATATATATAAAAGTGTCAGACTTTCCGGAACACTTTCAAAAGTTAAGTTGAAAAAATTAATTTTTTGTGAAAAAGTTGTCATTTTAAATCCTCCCCTGTGGGCAAGTAAAGGGTCACATATAAAAAAAAAATACCAAATGAAAGGTAATGATATCATGCATCTATATAAAAAAAAATGATATTGATATGTTCATTTTTAAAAAAGTTATGGCAGTTTTTAGTAAAAAAAATTGAAAAAATTTCGAAAATTAGCGATTTTTAAATTTGTAATATTTTTAGAGGTTTCCCCCATTTACGGGGAACGACGGAAATTTTTTCAATTTTTAAGGGTAATGTCTTCGACTAGATACGATTTGTGATCTTTTGACTCATCATTGAAAGAAATCAGTTCGGTGAGAGCTGAGAAAAAGTGGTAACAGACACAAAAAAAAAAAACACATCATAGTAAAACCAATACCATCTCAGCTTCGCATCGAAGCTAAAAAATTTTGAAAATCCGAGCACGATAAGTAAGTTTTCTGGAAAAGCGTTTTTTCCTTGTTCTATTATATAAAGCCGGATTCCCACGACTGATGTACTTACCAAGTACACCAATAATTGTATACTTGCCAAATCATCCAATTATTAACAAGTAAAGCGTTTCCATGAGTGGTATACTTGACAANCCCATGACTGGTATACTTGACAAGTATACCAGTACTTGTACACTTGTACAAGTAATAAATAAAAGCCAAGTATACTATTCCTACGACTGGATCAAATGTCAAATAATTGTATTGGGGGTGGGACCTGAAAAATATTAAGTCGTGTATCATTTGCTTTTTTTGCGCTGCAGTGTTTGGACGTTTCAGTGAGTGATTTAAAACACATTTTTTAGTATTGCTAGTTTTTATACTTTTAAATTTTTTTTTTTTTAGTTAAAATAGTTCTTTAACTTTTATCTATAATTTTTAGTTTTTATTTATCTAATTAAACTTAAGTTAATTAAAATGGTTAGTGATAATGATAAAATGGCTATTTATGCTTCATACATAATTATGTGTGGAGAGTACTTAAAGTAGAAACAATTAATTGAAAAAAAAATACAAAAAAAAAAATTTAAAAATATGTTACCGTAAAATTAGATGAAGGTTTTACTTAACTTCACCAAACTATTGAACAGCCACCATTTCAAAATAGAGTTTTGATAGCGAAATGCATTCAATTTATATCATTAATACACTTATCTACTTTTTTTAGTAATTTGGCATTTCTAGTAAAGTCTTTTGNTAATTTGGCATTTCTAGTAAAGCCTTTTATTTATTTACTACCTATATTCATTTTTCGCTTGCATTCTTATTATGATTACTCACAGGTGATACTTACTGATATAAACGTCAAGAGTTATCAGTTTACTTAATTTCAATGAGCAGTGTTGGCTGCAAAAACAAAAAATTGGCCGATTAATTCATTTTTATTTAATTATAGCCATCGAAGCTTGAAATAAAACTATTTTCACACACATAGTTCTAATATAACTTTATAAAATAGAAAATGCTATTACTATAAAATATTTTTCAGTACTAAATTGTATTAATCTTGTTTTCGGTATCCAACAACAATAGCAATTAAAGCAAATTTGAAGAGGTTAGTTTCCCTAAAAATTAAAGAAAAAAAAATACGACAGAGTAAAACTAATAGTGTTTCAGCTACGCACCGTATATAATTTTTTACTTGCAAAAATGAAACAGAATTTTACAAATATAAACATTTTAGTAAAATATTAAACTATCCAATAATATTTATTTTATATTTAATATTCATAAATTAATAAGTTAAATAATTAATACATTATGTAATCAACCTTAACTATTAAATTATATTTACAATTATACTATAAAATAGTTTTACTTATCTATTAAATTAAATCAACTAATTAGCCAACATAAACCACCGCTGTACTGCACAAATATAGGTGAGTGGGGAAGAAAAAATTGTTACCGATAGCCACCCTAAAATCAAATATTGGATAAGTATTTGACAAGTACACAAGTGTGCACTAGTGAACTACAAGTGTAAACTTGTCAAGCCATTAATTCAATTGACTTGTGTTACATTTACCGACAATCCGCGGGAAACTGACAAGTAACCAATAATTGTACAAGTATAGTGTTCCGACGGCTTGACAAGTATACACAAGTGACAAATATTTGGCAAGTACACCAGTCGTGGGAATCCGGCTTAATACTTGTTAAACATTTAGCATATTACAATAATTGATCATAAAATTCGTCGCCTTGTAATAAAAAGGTTTTCTAATGGTTGCACTGACGTTTCTGATGCCAACCAAAGTATTGTTTTGTTATCGGGTTGTGTGATCTATCTGTTTTCGTATAGTCTGTAATTTTTATGTTAGCGGTCATTGAGGCGCTGCAGTCAATGGGTGTTACCAGATTCCATGACAGTTTGATAGATATTACTATTACTGATGATACTAGGTTGTAGTTTTGGTGCCGACAGTCAATTCTGTTATAATTTTTGATGTTACTGTTTTCAGTAAAGTTTGTTTTTCATGTATTATTAAGTTATTTTTTTACTTAACTAGTATCAATGATAATTAACCTAGACAATTGGTCAGCCTATTTAAATATTAATAATATAGTTTCAAGGGTAAAAACTCTTGTTTTTTACTATTTAATTTAATATATTTAGTTAATACATTTTCAATATTAAAGTGCTACTGAAAATATTTATTAGAAATTAAATCATGACTTGGGGATTCATTACTTGCGGTCCAAATGAAGCATTGGTGATTTCCGGTAAATATAATTTGACTAAATGTGTTAAAATTCAATTATCCAGGCATCTTTTGTAACATAAACTTCAACCTTTTAATCGCTACTAGGCTAACATTTTAAACTTTCACTTATATAATTTTTGAGTAACTTCATTTATAAATTAAATATCTACCTTTCTGATGATAAACTATCATTTACAAAAATCAATTTAATTCTACTAAAACATCACAAATGTTATGTATTTAACAGATCAAAATTGAAATTTTGAAAATAAAATTTTAGTAATAGTAAAGATATTTTTGATCATTGAAAAATTAATGTTTTTTTTTAAATATTTTATACTATGTTAACCTAATATAGTCTTTTTTTTTTTTTTTATCTTGTTTAAACTTATGTAAATACATGTGCATAAATATATAAACTATATTATGTTCTAAAGGGTGTCCCTTAAATACCAATTTTAAATTTTAAGAAATTGATTTATGCTAAGTATTGATTATGACAATTGTTGACCATTTCATAATTCAGTAATGAGTTTTAATAGAATAGATGTTACAAAAAACTATTGATAGTCATGAAAAATATTGTATTATTCAGTGAAACCTTACTTTCATTTTATACATTAAACTAGTTAATAGCTTGTTTTTTTTTTTAAATATTTTGAAGAAACAGTAAAAAAATAACAATTTAATAGGGCTACGTCCCTTGAAAAATTTGATTTATTGTTTTTATGTATGAATAGTTTCTGGAAAATATCATTTAAACTTATAGGAATTACTTTAATTTGCCATCATGTGATGTTACCCAATGCTTTTTTAAGGTAGCAATGTCTCTTCATATATCAGAAAATCCCAATCTTATTCAAAAATTAAATAAGAAATTAAACAAGTAGTTGGTAAAATTAATGAGAAATATGTCATTATTATTTGTAAATTTTACTGATAGAATTAACTTATATAAATATAAACGTTTAAGAATATATAGCATATATTTTTTTTATAATTGAATTACAACATATAAGGAATGTAAAAGTATGAAGTATAATTTGTTTTGTATACAATTAAATGGGTTATAACATTATTATAATTGGTATTATTTATGGGACAATTTTAATATAATAATTAAGTTTACTTAATTCAAAATATTTTTAATTTGAAAAAATAATAATTTGGTAGTAAAAATGATGTTTTTCATATACTAATTGTTACATCTGTATAGGAAAAATTCAATATTTGATAATTACAACAAAAATAACATCAAAAATGCGCGTTTAAATTATTAATATTAATTTTTTATTTTTTAAATGTAATTTTTATTTTGTGCTGCCTGGCCATTTTCTTCCATATGCCTATGTATCTTTCAATTAATTAAATTTTTGTCATTCCTATTTAAAACAATTTTAATCCTGCTGTGTATTGTTAATGGATAAAATTATTATTAACATTTTGTATTATAACTGTAGTTTACTCCTAGTTTTTTAATAAAACTGTTTCTTTTAAAATTAGTGTCTAAATTTTTTTTTAAAAAAAAAGACAGTTTTTATTTTTGTATTAATGTTAATAACAAATTTTTAATAAATTTAATTAATTTAAATAACTATATGCAATGTTAATCTTATAAAAATGAACGATGATTTAGTAATTTTAATTTTTTTTACTGTTATTTTACAGGATGCTGTTATGGTAAACCAAATTTAGTACCTGGTGGTCGAGCTTTTGTTTGGCCAATTATTCAATGTTGTCAAAGGTATTTAAAAGAATTAAATTTTTTTTTAAATATTAATATTGAATTTATGTATTAAATAAAAAGAATAATGGTATATTATACTACCATACCTTCATTTTAATTGTAAACAATTAAATGATAAATATATCATTAGACTAATGTGTTAAATTTATTATAAAATTCAAATATTAATAATAGTAAAAGTAAATCCTTATTATTTTATTAAAAAAAAATTATGGATTATTTAAGAAAATTATTTCAATACTTTAAAAGTGCTTATAAAATGATTCTGAAAATTATTTAATAACAGATAAATAGAAAAAAATAATATATAATATTATTAAATACATGTGTTATTATTATTCATATATATATATTTTAGGATATCTTTAAATACAATGACATTACAAGTTGAAAGTCCTAAAGTTTATACAAGTCAAGGTGTACCACTATCTGTTACTGGAATTGCTCAGGTATTATATGGTGAAGTAAAATGTACATTAAAATATTATAACTTTTAATAATTATAATTATTCTTAAATTTTTTTATTGCAACTGTTAACAGACTTAATAATTAAATTTCATTGTAAATCTAATTCACGACTGTTATATATAAAAACAAAAATAATATTAAGTTATTTAATGTGTGAAGTTAATCTTCAATGAATTGATTTTTAAATATAAAATCTTAAAATTGTGTGATATTTTATATGCATACTCTCAAATTTTTCATTAATAGGTTAAAGTTCAAGGTCAAAATGAAGAAATGCTTTTAAGTGCATGTGAACAATTCTTAGGCAAGTCCATAGAAGAAGTCCGAGAAATAGCATTGCATACTCTTGAGGGCCATCAACGAGCAATAATGGGAACAATGACTGTTGAGGTTTATTTCATAAAGTTTTAAATAGTATTATACATGAAAAAACCCAGAACAGTGGGGGTGTGGCATAGTTTGGTCAATTATAATAATATCTGACAGTTATTAAAATCACTATCATAAAAAACCCTTGGATGCAAATCTGTAAATAGTATTTAATTTTAAAAATTTGGTGGATTACTTCAAAAGCTATACGATCTCCTATTTTCTTATTTATATCCTGATTACAAGTTTTATGATTTTTAAGTGTAATATATGAATAAATATATATATTTATAATATATAAATGGTGATATTAAAAAAAAAAAAAGTATTTCAAATGGATGATGTATACAAATACTACTTCTCATGAAAAAATTGTGTTGATCCATATATTTTTCAAAAAGTTAATAGCATAATAAAGTTAAAAATGTAAAATATAATATCAAGAATTTTCACACGAAAATAGCATTAGGTAGCCATTTTCACCGTGAAGACAAAATAAAGTCTGAAATTTTTTTTTTCATAATAAAGAATATTGCATTAGCTTTAATTTAATATATATATATAAGTGTCAAACTTTCCAGAACACTTTCNTTAATTTAAGATATATATAAAAGTGTCAGTCTTTCCGGAACATTTTCAAAAGTTATGTTGAAAAAGTTAATTTTTTGTGAAAAAGTTGTCATTTTGAATCCCTCCCTGTGGGCAAGTAAAAGGTCAGATTTATAAAAAAAAATATACCAAATAATAGGTAAAGACATCATGCATCTAAATAAAAAAAATTATATTGATTTGGTCATTTTTAAAAAAGTTATGGCAGTTTTAAGTAAACAAAATTAAAAAAAAGTTGAAAATTAGAGCTTTTTTTGGAGATTTCCCCCATTTATGGGGAATGAGGAGAATTTTTCAAATTCTAAGGGTAATGTCTTCAACTAGATACGATTTTTAATCTTTTGACATATTTTTCATCAAAATCGGTTCGGTGAGAGCTGAGAAAAAGTGGTAACAGACACACACAAAAAAAAAACACATCATAGTAAAATTAATACCTTTTCAGCTTCGCATCGAAGCTAAAATTGTAGAATTTTAATATGATTTATTAAAGATGTCAAAACATAGAGGAGCCACTTATACTAATTTTTTTATTATAGCCCACTCAATCACCCTGTACATACAAGATAACAATCATGAATCTCTTAATTAATACACTTACGTATATATTATTCAATAAATTATTACATCATATTTTAATTATAAGTTAATCCCAAAGAAAAATCATATGTGACTTACTTACAATCAGTTTTGATAATGCAACATTAATGGTATTGCACATAAAATTGCATTATCAAATCTCTAAATGGTCATTTAATATAATAAAAATTAATCACTTGAGAGTATTATTATTTAAAATTAAAAATATTATTAATTTAAAACTAAAAAATAATACAAGTCTTAAACTAAAAAAGAGACAAAAAAAAAATTACTAAAAAATCGAGGGTACATATAATTAGAAAATTTATTTTTTATATAGTTAGTTGAATTTAATTTTTAACATCAATATCTCATTTTCACTAAATTGTTATTAATTACACTTTTTTAAACTGTTAAAGCTCGAAATTCACACAATTGTATCGTTAAATTATAGAATATATACATGTTAAAAAAATTTTCATGTATTAATTAGTTAAATACATTATTAAGTTTTATTAATTAAAAAATCTATAGAAAGAGCAAATAATTAATTTTATCATATTATGCACAAGTTTAGATAAAAGCGATGTATTTTATTTTAGTTTAAAAAAATAACGGTAGCACAGTGAGGTCAGGGCTTAGTTGGGACAAATATAGATGATATCTGACATGATAGTGATTAAAGCCATTATAATAAGAAATGCCTCAATGCAAATCTGTAGATAATGTTTAATTCTAAGAAATTGGTGGATAATTACAAAAACAACATCAACTATTTCCTTCATTATTCCTAATTAGTAGTTATTTGTTTTAAAAGTATAATTTATAAATAAATATTAATTATAGTAATTAAATTTGATATGAAATTGATAATCCACAATTTAATATTGTAATTTATATGGAAAAATTGTAAAGTTAATAAAGTAATTACTTTTATGGCAACCGTGTATAAAAATTGAAGGGATTGATACAAAACTTTTCAGAAAATAATTTGTTGTTAATTATGAATTAAAGGTTTTAAACTTAATATTGTTAATTATAATTAATTTTTTAATAGTTTATTTAATTTATCATGTTAATTTCAAATCTGAAATTAGATTTCTTCTATAACCACTAATTTTTGATATTATTACTAATTAGTTAAAAACTATAACTGAATATTTCTTTAATTGTATCATCAATTAAAGAAATCAACCAAGAGTTATGTAGAAATGATTAATATCTCTTTTAAAATGATTTATTGCAATATAAATACAAAAAATATAATAAATTTTCATAAATTTACTATTAATAGTAATTATATAAGATCCTGACCATATATCAATCTAAACAAAATTGTTTTTTAAATCTTCATAAAAAATTCTATTTAGTGATATCTACTTCAAACTTACATGCTGAACTAAAAATAGGTTAAAAGTTCAACATTTTTCAATTATAAAATTTTATAGAAATTAACTTCAAAGGACTAAAAAATTAGGTTAATCATGACATTTTAATTTAAATTTTACACAATTATTTTTAACATATTAAAAAATAATTTTTGAATGAAAATACTCGTTTTTATAAATTAGAAATAATCTTAAAAAAAACAGAGGCGGTTAAAAATAATCTAATTGCAGAATTAACACAAGGTTTAGCAAAGTACATTTCGGTTTAGACTGCTTAAAAATATTCAATGCAAAATATCATTTTAACCCATATTTTAGGTTCTTAAAATTGATTTTTTGAAAGTTTATAATAACAAAACTTAAAATCCTTTGTAAGATATTTAAATTTATTTAATAAAATAAAACATATAATCGAGAATTATAACACAAAAATAACATCTTTTTGTTGTTTAAGCAAACTAAAGTTAGAAATTTTTGTTTTACATTTTAAAGTATATTATATAATCTTAAATTTAAGATGCATATAAACATGTCAGTATTTCTGGAACAAGTTAATTTTTTGTGGAAAAGTAGCCATTTTGAAACCACTCTTGTGGGCAGTTAAAGGGTTAAAAGAAAATATAAAAATGATAGGTAAATACCTAATGTATTCCTTACTAAATAAAAACTATGTTGATTTGTTCATTTTTAAAAAAATTATAGCAGTTTTTACTTAAAACATTTAAGTAAAAATTTTAAATATGTCGAAAAATACCGATTTTTTTAATTGTAATTCTATTGGGAATTTACCCTATTTACAAGAAACAAGAGAAATTTTTTCAATTTTTGAGGGTAATGTCTTCGGTTAGATACAATTTGTGGTCTTTTGACATATTAATCATCAAAATTGATCCAGTGAGAGGTGAGAATAAGAGGTAACAAACACACCAAAAAAAAAAAAAAAAAAAAAAAAACACATCAGAATAAAATTAAAACTATTAATCAGCTTTGCATCAAAGCTAATAATAGCAATAGTTGTTAAAGGCTAATTTAAAAAAATCCAATATATCAATAAACAGAATTATTGAAATTGAATTTAATTATTCATATTCAAGAAAATCATACCCACTTAAATTTAAAGTAAATAATATTTACCTGAATTTTTCTGCTTCTGCAGGTCTTCTAACAGTTGCTTCTAATTCACGCTCCCTACGCTGTATTTCTTGTTCTTGAACAGCAATCTGTTGAGTCCTTTCAACAACATCTATTTGCATTTGTTCTTCTTTGATTCTTTGTTTTGTTTTTGCAGCTTGTAATTCATAGGCTAATTCTGCCTCAGCTTTCTAAAATATCATACAATTTGATTTGTACGACTACAAACTCGTTGCATAAGGTTTTCTTTTTAACACGCTTATATTAGTTTCACTTGTATGTGTGATGTGTGTTTGTAACTTTCCACGCTGCACGTGTTATTATTCTCGCGTATCTCGTCGTCTAGACTAGACGTCGTAACGAATTCACCCCACCCCGCTCACCAATCACCGGCAACACTAATCCTGTATAATTTTATATTTTTGGTTTTCGTACCCGTACAAGCATGCGTGACATTAATTATATATATATAAACAAATTTTTATTTTGACTGACCAATACCACCCGCATGTAATGCGCCTTACGTATATATATTTATATATTCCTACCGCCGTTTATACCTTAGGTATAACGTTCCCCCTAACCACAAAACACGGCTATACCCTGTGCATGATACGTTTACGTATTTATGTCGCCTTAATATATATATGTATGTATGTATGCGTATATATATATATATATATATTCCTATAGCCAACTCATATGCCTCGCGTACAACGTTCCCCCGCGCCTCGCCAGCCCACAAAACAGTTAAACCTCGTGCATGATACGTTTATATAGTTAAGTCGCTTTACATGTATATATATATTGTAATTACTATTAAAAATATATATTAACACGCTTTATTCTCATTAAGGGATATAGAGTGTATTCATTCCGATTACAAAGGATGATTCCCGTATCGTCATTTTTCGTCACTACCACCATGTTCCGGGAGTGGGTAATTTACGCGCCTGCTGCTTTCCTTGAATTTGGTAGCCGTTCTCAGACTCCCAGAATTGAACCCTGATTTCCCGTTACCCGTTACAACCATGATATTGATAGTAACTACTATAATAACATGAAACTAAAAAGTGAAAAATAAATATAGATTAAAAAAACTAAAAAAACACGATTCTAAAGCACATCAAACTAAAAAGTTAAAAATAATTTTTAAAATAAGCTTGAAACAATAATGAACGAAAAATACTAGTATTATTGTGATAAAAGCGTGGGTGCTTTGTGCCATATTTTTCGTATATTGAGCGCCCGCTTTTATCACAATAATACTAGTATTTTTCGTTCATTATTGTTTCAAGCTTATTTTAAAAATTATTTTTAACTTTTTAGTTCGATGTGCTTTAAAAGCGTGTTTTTTTAGTTTTTTTAAACTATATTTATTAAATATGGATATATTTATAAATATAAAAATAAATAAACTATCAATACCTTTGTTTGTATTTCAACATCATATGCAGCCTTTTTTAATTCAAAATCTCTTTGTGCTTTAGCTATTTCTGTGTCATTTATTAATCTATAGTTAAAATTATAAATTTAAAAAGTACCAATGATAAATTCTAATTTTTATTTTTAAACATTACTTTGCTGCCATTCTTTCTTCTTCAGCAATAGCTTCTCTTATCATTGTTTCTTTTTTAGCTTCAGCTTCTCCAATACGTGCATCTCTCTTGACTTCAGCTGTTCTAGCTAAACCTAAAGCTTTGAGATAACCCTAATTTTACAAAGTAAATAATATTTTAGTAACCTCATTTAATATGGGTCCACAATACAAAAAATATTGTGACAAAATTCTGCAAAAAACTTGCATAGGTCCTTTATTTTTATAAGTGATTTAACTTTACCTATAATATTATGAATTTGATTTTTTATAAACTTTCTGAATTAAACCTTATATTTTATGAGTAATTTTTTATTTAATACAGTTATTTTTTTGCTTAAAAAATATTTAGAGAAAATTTTTTTACAGACCTCTTCATCTCTGATATCTTTAATAGTGTATGATACAACAGTAATACCCATATTTACTAAGTCAGAAGATGCTACTTCAAATACTTGCTTGCTAAACTTTTTTCGATCTTTGTAAATTTCCTAAAAAATAAAAAAAATTTATCTAGGGTAATATTACTAATGAATAAACACTAAAAGTGAAAAAACACCACTGGGTTTCTAAATAAAAATAGGAAACTCCAATTTTTTACATAAAATAATAAATTTAAATTTTTTGTTAGTTAATTGTAAATATTTTTATAAAGAATTTTCCAAACAACAAATATTTATTAACTTTATAAGTGTGATATGAAAATATAAATTAATAAAAGCTGAAAAACTCTTAATTGTCCATTGACTAGTGAAATCACTCTATATGAATAAATATATATAAATTATTATATTATAGCTAATGATTTTTAATTACAAGTAAATTATGAAACATTGATTAATGAAAATTAACATTAACTTTTATCAAAAAATTATTCAGGGGTACTTCTTTGTAGTTTTAGATATTATCCTGTTTTAATCATTTTACAATTTTAATAATTAAAATTTTGAAATCAATAAAAATACAATAAATAATTTTTAATAATTAATTTTAAAAGGAAGTATTAGCTTCGATGTGAAGCTGAGAAGGTATTACTTTAACAATATTTTTTTTTTTTTGTGCCTGTTACCACTTTTTCTCAGCTCTCGCCAACTCGATTTCTTTCAACGATATGTCAAAAGATC